CCTGCATCGCCTTCGTCGCCTCCGGACTCGCCTACACCGCCCCCCGACTCGCCTGGCCGCCCCGCCTGCCTCCCGACTCACCGGCACGGCCTGCCTGCACTGCCTGCACGGCCTCTGGGCTGGGAGGAGGGGGGGGACGTCCCGGCCAGGGGAGGGCCCTGGCAGGCTGGGCGCCAGGCGCAGGCCGAGCGCCGGGCGGAGGACGGGGGGGAGGACACGTCCGACGCCAGCATTGGCTTTTGCACCGACCCCCCCGAGCACGGCGACGACGACGAGGCGGCGGAAGACGCAGGGAGCACCGACGCCAGCAGGGAGTACAGCACCGACCCCATGGAGCACAGCGACGACGAGAAAATGGCCAACCTCGAAGTCCGCACCCGCGGGTGCCCGGCCGAGCCCCGCGAGACCCCCGCCGCCGGCGCCGGCTCAGGAGCCGAGCGAGCGCAGGAGACGGCAGCATGGCCCGCCCTGAGGCCGGCGTCGGCGTCGCCGCTGCGGACGAGGGCGAAGCCGGCAGGTAGGGCGTCACCTTGGGGGGGGCAAAGGCCCGAGCTGGAAGGGCTCCTCCGCCCTCGCTTCGAGTCCCTGGAAGGGCGGCCCGGGCCCCAGGCCAAGGCCCCCAATGACCCCCCCGGAGCGGAGGGCACCCCCGCCGACGCCGACGACCACGGGGGAGCGACTCGCCAGGCGCGCGTGTTAACCACCCCGACGCTGAGGACGGGGGAGGACCGCGTGGAGGAGCTGGAGTGCCAATGCCTGGAGCGTGCTGGTGGAGATCTTGGCTGGGCTCGTGGGGGAGGGCGTCCCGGGGACTTGGGCCTGGATCGCGGCGCAGCCCGCCGGGGAGATTCTGGCCTGGATCGGGGCGGGGGCCTTCCGGGAGAATTCTGCCTGGATCGTGGCGGAGGCCGCCCTGAGGGGCCCATCCGGGATCACAGCGTAGGTCTTCGTGGGGATTCTGACGGGGATCACGGAGGAGGTCGCCCTGGAGATTGTGGCCCGGGTCGCGGCGCCGATCGCCGTGGAAATTTTGGCCTGGATCGTGGTACCCCCCGGGGGAGGGCCCCGGGAGGAGGCGACCCGCGGGGCGCTGGAGGAGACGGTCATCGGGACTATGGAGGTGGTCTTCGGGACGCTGGAGGCGATCATCGGGGCGCTCTTCGGAGCGCTGGAGGTGATCTTCGGGGCGCCGGCGAGCTTCAGGGCGCCCCTCGGAACGACGGCGATCTTCGGGACGCCGGCGATCTTCGGGGCGCTGGCGATCTTCGGGACGATGGCGACCTTCGGGGTGCTGGCGTTCGCCGGGACGTTCCTCGGGACACCGGGGGGGAGCACACCCCGTTGGGCCTCCCCCTGGGGAGGGATACCCGCCCCCCGGAGGGCCCGCTGGGAGGACCCAGCTGGGAGGACCCAGCGGGGGGAGACCTTGGGGCTGGAGGTAACCTGCAGGGAGCTGAAGGAGATCGAAGCGCTGGCGGGCCGCAGGGCGCGCCTCGTAGCGCCGACGTCGACGCCGGCACGGATGTTGCTGACGCTGACACCGATGGCGACGCGGACGCGGACGAGGACGCGGATGCTGACGACGGTCCCGCCGATGTTCCTCGCCTCCCAGGAGTGGGCCCCTTGCACTTGCCGGGATCCCCTCCGGTTAGAGCGGTGCAGTGGCGCCCCGAGGACCTCCACCGGGGCGGGTACACCCCCGCCGCCGCATACGCGGCCGCCGCAGCACTGCGTGCGGGATTGGAGGAGGGAGAGGAGGGCGAGACACCCCTCTACCGAGGCGGAGGCGATCGAGCAGATGCTGACCACCGCCGACGGCCGGTTAGAACGGCGCGGGATTGGAGGAGGGGGAGGAGGACGGGACGCCCCGCTACCGATGCGGAGGCGATCGAGCAGATGCGGACCACCGCCGACGCGGAAGGAGCAGTGGCGGAGGGGGAGGCAACCGATCGGGAGCTGATCACCACCGCGATGGGAACGACCCCTCCCGCGACGGCGGCGACCGGCCAGGGGGGAGCCACCTCCTAGGTGGGAATGTCCTCCGCTGGGGGGCCCACGCCGACGCCGTCACCGATGCCGTCACTGTCACCAACGATGCCGACGCTGGCGCGGACGCCGACGCTGACGCTGACACGCACGCCGACGCCGACGACGGTCCCCCTGAGGCCAGGGATGCTGGCGGCAACCGCCGGGGCGGGAGAGTGCCCACAACACCGACGCCCTCATTTCCTTCGCGGATGCCGACTCCTGCAACCTCGGCGCCGACTCCTCGTCCGGGGGCAACGCGTGGGCCGGCACCTCCCTTGAGGGAGGGAGCGCCCCTTCCCTTAGGAAGGCAACCTTCCGGCCACGCACCCACCGACGACGCCGACGCTGACGCTAACGCCGACGCCGATGCTGACGCTGACGCGGACGCCGACGCCGAGGCCGACGCAGACGCCGACGCGGACGTTGACGCGGACGACGGCCCCGACACCGACGCTGATGCCGACGTCGATGCCAGCGACGCTGACGCTGGGGCGGACGCCGACGCCGACGCTGACGCCGACGCCGACGCCTACGCTGACGCCCACGCTGGCGCCGATGCGGACGCTGGCACGGACGACGGCCCCACCGGCGTGCCCTCCACCGGCGCCGACGATGACGACGCTCCCGTTTGGGACCCCGACGCCAACGGGGACGTATACGGAGGCGAACCCGCACCCAGCGCCGGCGCCGACGCACACCACGAGGAGGATGGGGAGTCCCCCAGGGAGGGAGAAGACGGAGGCGATCCGCAGGACGCTGGAGGGGAGTACTTGGACGCTCCCCAGCGCGCTGGAGGCGAGTTCCGGGATGCGGACGTGCCTCCATCACCGCCGATAGCGCCTACCACGGCACCATCGGCGGCGCCGACGGCAGCGCCGACAGAGGCGCCCTCGCACCCCCCGGGGGGGGAGCACACCCCCACGGCGGGAAGACCGGACTCGCCCGGCGTCGTGTGCCCCCCCCTCGCCGCCGATTTCACCGTCGGCTCGATCCACCGCCGTGGTCACAAACATCTCGGGCGGCGCCGTCGCCCTTGGCTCCGCCGTCATCGCCGTCGGCGGGAGCGTCGTCGCCGCTGCCGCCACTGGAGGGGGCCCCCTCCGGAGCGGTAAGGGCGACTACCTGGGAATTGACCGCCCGAGGGGTGGCCACGACCTTGGAGGGATGGGTCACCTCCCTCGGCCCTGGGAGGGGACCACGACCCCCGGGCCTGATGCTTGGGGTGATCCCCGGGATGACGGAGAAGCCCTTCGGGACGCTGGAGGGGGGCCAGAGTTGGCAACGCTGCGACGCCCATGCCTTGCTTTTTGCGAGGGGAGACACGCCGGCTTTTCCCCCGGCCCGTGGCAGCCTCAGCCCCCAAGCCGACATGCAACCGAGCGCGCGCGGACCCGCTCGGGAGCTTGGGGGGACCGGCCACTCCCGGGGGGGAGTCAACCGGCCGGGAACTGGCCGCCGCCGCGGGGGAAACGACCCCTGCCGAGGCGGAGACGATCGGCCCGGGGCCGACCATCACTGGGGCGGGAGCGACAACAACCACGGCGGAGGCGATGACCACGAGCTGACCACCACCGAGGTGAGGACGCCCCACTACCGGGATGGAGACGACCGAGCGACCGCGGACCAACCCCTAGGGGGAGGGGACCATTACGGAGAGGATCCCAATACCGACTATCAGCGTCATGGGGGCGCTCGGCGGGACGCTGGAGGTGATCTCTGGGGCGCTGGCGGCCCTCAACACACCCTTCGGGCTACGCCGACTACCGACTCCTTAGAATGCTGCCCCAGCATCCCGCAGGACGATCTGTCGGAGACGCTCCCTATCGGGGCCGGCTTCAGGACCGCCCCCCGCCCCCTGCCGAGCCTCCGCGGGGCGTCCCTGTGGCATCCTGCCGGCGACTACGCCGGGGTCCCTCGAGCCAGATACCGCCCTACCGGCGACGCCGTCACCGACACTGGTGGGCGTGGCGCCGGCACCGTTCCCGGAGGCGGCGGAGGAGTGGATGGGCGGTACCCGTCGGTCGAGTGCGGGCAGGCGGTGCGGACGCCGCAGGCCGCCAAATCGGAGGGACCCTCCCCGGCCTCGCAAGCGGCGGGTACCTCCCCAGCCCTGCAAGCGGCAGGGGCCCCCCTGGCCGCGCGAGCCGGGGGAGCCTCCTTGGCCACGCCTGCGGGAGGAGCCCCCTTGGAGCTCCACGGCGTGCTGCGCAGCGATCCAAGCCAAAATCTCCAGGACGCCCTCCGCCCGGAACATCGGGATGTTCACCGAGGCGGTCTGCGCCACGATCCAGGCCAAAATCTCCAGGACACCCTCCTCCCCGATCCTAGCTATGACCTCCATCATTGTGATCCAGGTCATGGCGTTCCAACTCCCCCACGCAGTCCTCCCCCGTCCTCGACGCCGCTGCCGAAGACGACGGCTACGCGGAGGGAAGGGCGGAACCCATGGGAGGACGCTGGGGCCGAGCCGACGAGGCAGCCACACCCGGGCTTCGACGCCCGCGAGGATCGTGCAACCACCCCGACCAGCGCCGTGAGCGGCCCGCCGGCGCAGGCGCTGCGGGGGAGAAGCCACGACATCGAGCGCTGCCACGAAGTGCTGGACCTGACCTCGGGCGCCGCCGCGCGCCGCCCCGGCGGGACGCCGCCGGCGGCCGCGCGGGAGACCTTCCCCCTGGACGACCCCGAGGACGAGGCGTTGGAGCAGGAGGGCCTCTCGGAGGCCGTGCCGCGGCCGACGAGCGGGGCGCCGAACCAGAACTTTTGGAGGCGCCCACTGCAGCCCCGCCTACGGCATCGGCGCCCGCGCCGACGCTGGCCAGGCGGGTACCCCCTCCCAGCCGCGGCCGAGAGGCCAAGCAGCCGAGCGGCCGTGCGGCCGTGCGGCTAGGGGGAGGAAGGTGTGGCCGTCTCCCTCCCCGCTGCGGTCGAGCGGCCAAGCGGCCGAGCGGCCGGGCGGCTGAGGGGGGAAGGAGCGGCGGGCCGTTGAAACCGCCCGCGTTTGGAGGGAAGGGGGCCGAGGGGCCCCACCTTCCCGGAGTGTTTGGTTTCCGCTCCGATCTTGCCCGCTCCGACCTTTGCCGGGCTGGCCACTAGGGTCCGCCAAACTTTTACTCTAGTCAAGGCGTGCGGGAGGGATGCGCATTTGCCTCCCCGGGGACCGGTTAGTTCGCGATTCGACGCGATTTAGCGATGGCCAGTTCCGGTGGCCCATAGACGCCGCCCGCCCGCGTGCTGCACGTGCTGCCCGCACCTCGCGGCGCCGTCTGGGAGGCTGCGTGTTTGAACCCCCCCCCTCTTTTGAACTGCGCCCGTGGGCGGGTGGCCTTGCGGGCGGTCGCCAGTGCCGCGCACGTCTTTGTCTGTGCCGTTTCTGGGCGGCACCGCACTTTCAGGGGTCAACGCTGTGTTGGCCCCCTCGGTGTCCTGCACTCTGCAGTGTCTACCGCTTTAGCTTGGACTGCACCCGGGGGCGGGTGACCTTGCTGGCGTTCGCCTGCTGCGCACGCCTTTGCCTGTGTCGCCGTTTGGGCGGCACAATGTTTCTGGGTCCAACTCAGTGTTGGCCCCCCCGGTCGAGGGAGGGTAGGGCCCGGTGGGAGCTGAGTCGGTTGCGGCGGGAATGCCTGCGGCTGAACTCGGTGTGCTCTCGCCACGTTAAAAATGGGCCCTCCCCCTCTTCCCCTTTGTTACGCACGGAGGCCAGCAGCAATATATAGTCTCGTTTGGCAGCGGTTCGCTAAAACGTTTGTATATTGCCTTACGCAGTGCACTTGTTCTCTCCTCTGTCCCCTTTCCCTCCTCCTGCCTTCTGCAGCCGTCTGGCTGAGTCTGCGCTTTTCCACCACCCACCCCGCATCTCTTATCGCCCACTCCCGTGTGGGCGGGAATGCCTGCGGCTGAACTCGGTGTGTTCTCGCCACGTAAAAAATAGGCCCTCCCCCTCTTCCCCTTTGTTACGCACGGAGGCCAGCAGCAATATATATATATATATATATATATATATATATATATATATATTTGTTGCTTATCTGTTTCACACGCGCGTCCATGATCGTATATTCAATTCCGATCGCGTATTATTTCCGAATTTGCATTCCGTCCGCGTGGGGTGCTGAAGAAAACGACCTCGCCCTCGAGGAGAGGGCAAACTGGCATTTCTCCATCGGCGCGGAAGGCGGCGGAAGGGCGGCGGAAGGCGACGGAAGCAAAACGGGGGCGGCTCAGCCGGCGGATGCTGGCGGAAGGCCAGCGGAAGACGCCCCCAAGAGATGGCTACG